CAAAGACAGACGAGAAGTCCGATCTTCGCCGGTAAGTTGTTGTCCGCTCGAGCTGCCTGCAGCGCCGAATAACTACTGCTGTACGCGCGCGATGTTGTGAGGAACACGGGCTTTGTGATAGAGTGAACTTCGCAAAAAAGACCCACAGGCCCTCTTCGGGCAATGCGCATGTGGTCTTGGGTCACCCGTGGGAGGCTTGACACCCACGTCCCGACGGGAAACCTTGTACTATATGTATATGAAGACAACGGAGCACAGGGACCCACCCACTCCCAACCCCCTCGGACAAGATTGACTGCTGGAATAGGCACGTTGCGCGGCTCACTTGCAGCCGTCTACGGTACGTACAAAGGATAGTGCGTCCTTACAGTAAAACCATTATGCTCTTGTTCCACCCCGTGGTGACCAATATGTCACAGGTGGTGGCCCTTTCCTCCGTCCAGTTTTATTTTCTGACGACAAGTCCTTTTCGTTGTCTACACTGGTATAGCCCATGTTGCGACCGGGCGGGTCTGCGACTACGGCCGCCCTCGTCGATGGAAATAATATGCAGCTCAGGGCAGAAGTACAAGAGTGTCCACTCGTGAGAGTTGGCGCGGGAGGGGGTAATCTCTCACCATAAAGCCCGACTCTGAAGCCAGGCGTAGCATGACCGCCCCGCGTAGGTCCGAGCACCATTCGTTCTCGTCGATGGCCCGGAGCATGGCATCAGCGGCCTCGGGAATTGACTTGGCATATGCGTTCCTCGTCGTCTCCTTCGACAGGCATGTGGATGGACATATATCCCGCGGCGAGTGGGTGGAGGGATGGATGATAAATGTGTGGCCTATGTGTCACGCAACAGCCGGTAGAGTATAGGTGGTCTACGTGGACAAAATACAAGTAGTCGTGGTGAAGTGGGATTGGGGTTGTCACATGAATTACACAGCAGTTACCCTCTGTGCCAACCAATACCAACAAACAAGACAATGTGTACGCGGAGGCGCCAGATACTACTGGTTGGGAAACGAGGAGGGGGAACATGGCAGGGAACAGGGAACGCATAGAGCATGCTCGTTGCCGTGCGTAGTGGGATCGGTGGTGTGCTGTCTGGACAACACACCAGCACGAGAGATGTCAGGCATCGAGGCTTGTCGAGGGCCATGAAACTTGCAGCAAGTAGGTGTGTGGCCCCCAGCAGATGCGCAGAAAAACACAGCAATACTGCACTTGAAGCAACACTACAACAGCAGGCCGCGGCCATGCGGGACACGTCGTCCAACGCTTGGGTTCTCACCTCGACTACATCTCTGACCCCCTGACGGGGGTCGACATTCTCGTCGTCGTCGTCGTCGTCGTCGTCGTCGACCTCCCGGCGGCGGTTCCTCTGCTTCTTCTTGCCGGATGACTTGCCGGAGGAAGAACCGGAGGTGTGGCGAGCACTCTGACCGGAACGTTTCGAGCTGCTGCGCGATGCACCGCTCGAGGACGACCCTCCGTGGCTGTTGCGGGCGGAGAAGTTGGACGACCTCGACCCTAGACGGTTGTTCCCGTTGTTGGACATGATGGTGGAGAGTTGAGGAGAGGGTAATGGAAGGGACGGGAGGGGATGGTTGTGACGCGCTAGTGCTTGGCGCCACAGGCGGATAACGCCCGCATAAGGCGTTCACCAGGGAACCCAGCCTATGCATCCCCTCTCGTCCCCGGTTCCCTCCACGCGTCGCCTCTGGTGACAAAGACCTTCGGCATGCTCGTGCGGAGCCCGCTCTTGAGGGAGACGCTACATGATGCAGGAAACAGCGGGGGGGGGGGGGTTTCGTCGCTTGGCAACGACGTTGTAAAACAAGCCGCCCCCCCCGGTGTTTGCCATCGGGGTTTGGGTTTTCGTCGTTTGGCAACGACGTTGTAAAACAAGCCCCCCACTCGGTGTTTGCCATCGGGATTGGGTTTTCGCCGCTTCGCAACGACGTTGTAAAACAAGCCAATTCACTTCGTGAACTCGGCAACCAGGTTACCGCTTTTTTTTTTTCCTCGTTTTTTTTTGTGGCGGTAACCATAATGGTGGTCGAGTAGATCATGTTGTGCGGGGTCGAGAAACCTCACTCCGCGCAACGGGGGATGGTCGCACCACGTTGTGTTAAAATGGTCAAGCTTCCTCGAGGCAGTTACATAGTGCTTACAACTGTCTCTGGAAGTGAAAGCACCAGAAAATAAATTAAGTCATACGTAGCTGTCATCCGTACGCAAGGAAGTAAGCACAAGATGCCGAACACCCTTAGCAGGATGCAGCTCACCCTTCATGCGACTCGCCAAATACCTCACGGCGCTTCGCGCTTGGTGATGTGAGAGCCTGGTCCGGTGAGAACCCGGCGTGCTCCGTCCCGGCTTTGTAGGGATGCGAGGTCAATGGTCAAACGACTACGGCATGCACGACTATGAGCACACCCCCCCCCCCCCCCCCCCCCCCGAATCGGGGGGAAGGGCCCCC